AACTATTTCAAAATTTTATTAAATTAGACATAATAAATTTTATAAATGTGAATATTAATTTTATATATGTGAATATTAATTTTATATCATTAGTCATTAGTCATTTTCATAGAGATACCTTTTAAATAGTTTCAGTGGATGCGTCATTAATAATATATCATTAATAAGTCACCATAAAAATAACTTTTAAATAGCTTTATCATGTGCATGTTCCTTACGAATATGGTTAACAGTCGGATATTCCATGAAATTTTTTAATACGTTCATTTTAGCATCCATATTAGAACCATATGCAAATACAAATATCAATGTCCCAATTTTATCGAAATGAGACAAAACAGATAATTGGAAATCCATTTCCACCCTAGAATATTGCTTCCATAATCAGTGAACATGGTGACATGGTTCAACCCCAAGCAGCTGTTTTTTTTAATGGAAACTGTGGGGGCAACACCCCCACCCCCACCCCCCGGTGGCATTTAAACTAAAAGGAATAGATGATCCAAGAGACGACCAAACAAGCAGTTGTTTTGTTTTAATGGAATTGCAAAATAACACATTTGCTAAGGCCATGCCTTTTTGGACGGTATCTTTGACTAACCATGTGATTATTTCCAACAATGAGATGAAACATTCGTGCTTCCTCCGTACCAAGAACAATTTTGATGTTCTAAATTGTTCTAAGTCAAGCGATCTTAAATTTGACTAAATTGATATAGGTAACTATAAACACTTATGACATCAAATAGGTATACAAAATAATAATTCTAATGGTCCTAATTTGGTATTATAAGTATTTTTACTATTTTAATAAAATTTTCAAACTTATTATAGTTTGGCTAAGGACGATCCAAGAACATCATGGTATTTAGGATAGAGATACTGGTGGAGATTTGTCATGGCCTTCTAGTTGTTTAGGAGACCTACTTCAGTCTCCAACCCCATTCTTTGTCAACATTTTGCAGGAAATCAAACCTATAATGCTTAAAACACTACATAAATCTCATGACCGCTAGTTCCAAACACCTCATCACCGATGATTTTAAGCCTCGATGGTGAAAGTGGGAAGTGATAATAATCTTCATACCGACGGTTTCAAACCGGTGGTGAAAGTGATGATCGCCGCCGGCTTGTTATATGGCAGCCAGCAACAGCTGCTCTCCGCCGTCACCATCTCCATCTCCTTGCACTAGCCTGTAATCGTCTCCTTGCCCGGCATGCCGCCTCCTCACGCTACAACCCACCTCTGCCCTAGCTAGATCTGAGAGAGGGAGAGAAAGTGAGAGGATCCAGAGAGATATGAGAGAAAGACAGAGTGATGGAGATGGCAACACTTGGATAGGATCAGGGGATGACTAGTGGTGCTCAGTGTGCGGCGGGGGGCTATCGTCGCGCTAGGCCGGTGCGCATTGCGTCATGCTATGGTGCCACCGCTGCGAGTGCATCTGTGAGTCACTAGGACAGAGGGAGACAGGAGGGGAAGAGAGAGAGAGTGTGTGATGGAGATGACAGCACATGGATCGGAGCAGGAGATGATCATTGGTGCTTGGTGTGGTGCGGGGGGCTGTCGCTGTGCCAGGGCGCCAAGCCACCTAGGCGCACCTACGTCGTGCTAGGACACTAGCGCTGTGCCTGCACCATAAGGGGATGCCACGGCTATGAATCACTAGGACAGAGAGAGATGGGAAGGGAAGAGAGAGAGGGGTATTTCTTTCTTCATGGGAGAGAAGAGGAGAGAGGGATAGAACACAAAATAGAGGAGGCATAGGTGTAATGTATCCATGTGCTGCCCCTGCCTGTCAAGCACTTAAGGAAAACACATGTGGTGGGAGCAGTGGGAGAGAGGCACGAGCGCACGAACTGCTCTGTTGTCAGGGACTTTACATCGACGATTGGTATAATGAATCATTGGTGGCCCGTTCATAATATGAACCGTTGGTGAAAATCATTTTCACCGACGGTTTGTATTATAGATCGGTACTAAAAGTCATTACCAATGGCTTTGTTCAAACTGACGGTAAAAATGTCATTGGTGAGAACAAGTTATGTAGTAGTGTTTCTCGATCTAGTGATGTAGAAACTGATTGAGAGTTGGGTAATAGTATTAGGGGCAGTAGGGCTAAAAAACTGAAAGACTAGAAATCTCAGTAGGGTTATACCCTATAGTGATGAGTGAGGGAGAAGAGCTAGAGCTAGTACCCAACGGTCTAACTTAGAGCTAGCTCACTCAATTTTTTAGTCACTAAACAGTGGAAAAAGCAATAGACTAATGTAAGCCCAAGAGATTAAAAAACAAGAGACTAGTGTGAAACCAAGAGATAGTCTTGCACGCTACACGATGTTTATCTCTCTCATGACATGATATACCTATTGTTGCCTCTCTCTCCTCCACGTTTACCAGCTTAGAGATAATGCTAGCTTATATTGTTGAAGACCTCATAAGTGGCCTTGGAACCACTTTGGCGTGCGATAACCCCACCACCCGTAGGTTGTAGCAAGATGGACCAAACACAACCACACAGTAATGATGCTGGCTGACTACCTAGTTGTGTAACCAGTGACACCCACAAATGGAGCAGCGCGCTCCACACCTTCATGGAACACCTAGGCATTGAGATATACTTGACTCGAGATGCTGGATGGGGGCCAAGGAGAATGTTGTTTGGTGGACGCAACGCCTAGGGCTTGATTGGTTTCATGATCAGGGGAGCCTGGCTTGCTCCTACGGACCGGACTGAGGTGGGACAGGCCTGTTGTATCTGTATGCAACATCCTCTTGTTTGGTTGACCGAATGAATAGATACTAGATCAGCACATTAGTTGTTTTGTTGCCCGTTCGCTAGCTCGCAGTTGCGCTCGCTGAATCTCAGTTGAGCCAGAAGGTGCGCGCTCTCACGCCCATCGGAACCAGGCTCCAAATAAACGAAAACAAGATTTGTTTGCTGGGAACCAGTATACGCGGGGATGCTTGCATGTCGCTAGCCAGATTGTGGCACTCACCCAGCCATCCAACGGCGTCGTGCCCGCACCCCACAATCCAGGGCCGCTCGGAAGTAGGTAACAAACGCGCCCTAACTAAATAGCAAAGTCGTAGAGGTCATCAAAAGAAGTGAGCATGAATGCACATTCATGTCGACTTCTGTTAGCCTTCTTCCATAGGCTATACTTACATAGGGGGTACGTATAGTTAGTTTTAGTTACGCTAGACCCAGGATGCAAGCCTGCTAGCTCAGTTAGTTAGTTTAGTCTTATTTTTCTTCGTCCTATTTACAGTCTAGGTTCTTTCCAATGCATATACAGTTAGACCGAATCTAATTTTCATGCAACATCACTTACCTTTTTAAGTTATTGTGTGCACTTGTTCATACCCTACACGGAGCCAGGTAATCTATCTGTTGACACTTAACTAGGTCACCACACTTGTAAGGAGCTAGCTAGATCGCTCAATGTAGGGCCTAGCTGACTTTTATATCAGCCGGCATATGAGGTATGTCCGCACATGGACCTGGTGCCTCAAGCGATGAGCACGAAACGCAGGACACGTCGCCGGATGAGCCTCGTCGGGAGCACGATACGCAAGACACGCCGACGAGGTCTTTTGAGACCCGAAACCAGACACGCCCACCTGGAGGGACCCCATCAGGACATGTGACGGCTATGGGCTGTCCTAGCTGGCCTGGCCGCTCTATGGTGTCATCATCGTCGATCCACCGGCCATGCAACGGTGATGAAGCATTGGGCACATCAATCGGTCGTGGCCCTTATATTTATAAGGAGGGGGTGGTCTTATCTCTCAGGAGGTCAAAACCCTTCAAAACACGAGTTAGATCCGAACTGTCATGTAGAAACCGGCCTGACTCGTTCCAAAACTGGCCTTGCCCATCCCAAAACCGGTCTGGCCGGTTTTTCTGCACCACCAGGTAGAAGCCTTCTGAAAATCGTAATTAATTCATCTGGACTCCAAATGAGACGATCTTTATATACGTTTTTCAATCAGCTCACCAAGAGAAACGCAATGGTGCAATCTAATTTTGGGAACCGGCCAGGCCGGTTTTGGCTGGGTCAGCCCGAAAAAAAAAACTATTTTCTTCGTCCGGGCTCCAACTAAGATGATCTAAGTATGCTTTCTGACCGTCTCGACGAGATAAACATGATGGCAGAGCCCATTATGCCCTTTGCACAATTTTGGGTGACTACACTATCTAAATGAAATTGTGCATCCATTGGTGTACTTCATCCAGCTATTATTGGGATGAGCCACGGTACAACCCAGTTCATTATTCAGGTCTACTAGCTAGTTCCAAGCCACTTCTAGCCTATCAAGGTTAATTAGTTGAAATGCCCACATGCCATTAAGGTTTGGGACAAATCTCGTAGGCTTGAAAACTGGCGACAAATTCTAGTCCTATGCTTGACCTTAACCAAAATAAGCAGGAAACATGGGCCTCAGTGCCATCAAGTCTTCCGTAGTATTTTAGCACATATGTATTTTTAGGCGCATGAACATTTTTATCTAAATGCACTATTCATTTTTCATTCTAATATATTTTCCATTTCATCCATGACTTGCTTTCTACAACTTTTTAAATTAATTCTTGATAAATTATAATCTCTCTATTACTAACTACGAAAACTAATCATTCTTCTTTTTTGAAATGGATAAAATTAATTATGCTTGTTCTATTTATTTGCAGCTCTATAAGCATTGTGTTCTGTATTGTGAGGCCATTTTAAGGAATGCAGAAAAATGTGTTTGCGTGAAAAGGATTTCTGTTGTAAAGAGGAAGACATTTCTCCAATTGATTTGAAATCACTAATTCTTGATGAGCGAGGATTTCAAGCACACATTAGATGCACAGCAGAAATTAACTGTGATGCCACCGATGTCAGAAGAAATATTGAAATGCTAGGTCATATAATTTCTAAAGACGGTTAAAGTTTTTCTTTACCAACTTGTCTTGCTACAACTTCATACAATCATTTGGTAGCAGGTATTTATGATGGAAACAGAGAAGAATGGAAACATTCTTATGCAAAGGTATGAGGTTGGCAAATTATTGGGGCAAGGAACTTTTGCCAAGGTATACCATGCTAGGAACATAGAGACGTCTCAAAGTGTTGCTATCAAGGTTATTGACAAGGACAAAATTTTCAAGGTTGGCCTAATGGAGCAGATCAAACGAGAGATATCAGTGATGAAACTGGTGAGGCACCCAAACATCGTGCAACTTTATGAAGTCATGGCTACTAAATCAAAGATATATTTTGTGCTTGAATATGTCAAGGGTGGTGAATTATTTAACAAAATTGCTAAAGGAAAGTTAAGAGAAGATGCTGCAAGGAAATACTTCCAGCAATTGGTTAGTGCAGTTGATTTTTGTCATAGTAGGGGTGTGTATCATCGTGATTTGAAGCCAGAAAACCTACTCGTTGATGAGAATGGGAATCTAAAAATTTCAGATTTTGGATTGAGTGCTCTTACTGAATCAAGACGCCAAGATGGTCTTCTACACACAACTTGTGGTACTCCAGCATATGTGGCACCAGAGGTTATTAGCCGAAAAGGATACGATGGTGCAAAGGTTGACACATGGTCTTGTGGAGTGATCCTATTTGTTCTTATGGCTGGATATCTTCCTTTCCAAGATTCAAATTTGATGGAGATGTATAGAAAGATTGGAAAAGCAGATTTCAAATGTCCACCGTGGTTTCCATCTGATGTACGCAAGTTAGTGTCAAGAATTCTTGATCCAAATCCAAGGACTAGAATGCCTATTACAAAAATAGTGGAATGCTTTTGGTTCAAAAAGGGTATTGACAGCAAGCTAATCCGAAAGAATATTGAGATAAAGGGGAAAGTTTCAGCTCTAACTAATGTTAAACAGGATGTAGCAAAGGTTACCAACCTTAATGCTTTTGACATTATTTCCCTTTCAGAAGGCTTTAATCTTTCAGGCTTGTTTGACGAGTCCGACAAAAGAAAAGAGGCAAGGTTCACATCTAGTCAATCAGCTTCAACTATTATCTCAAAACTAGAAGATGTCGCCACCAGTTCAAAGCTTACAGTAAAGAAGAAAGAAGGTGGTGTGCTAAAAATGGAAGGTGAAAATGAAGGAAGGAAAGGTGTACTGTCTATCGATGCAGAGATCTTTGAAGTTACTCCTTCCTTCCATCTTGTAGAGATCAAGAAAAACAATGGGGATACGATAGAATATGAAAATTTGTTTAAACAGGACATGAAACCAGCGCTCAAAGACATTGTTTGGGCATGGCAAGGTGAGCGTCAGGATCAATAGGCCGAGAATCGTAATCAGTGATAAATTACTAAACTAGTTTGTTTCCACAATAAGCCATAATGTTGGTTAATGTTCAAAAGTTGTATCTGTTTCGAACTTTCTCGCATTTGACATTAACATGTGATTTGGTTCAGAATTTGTTAAGCAACATCGTTGTTATGTTGCATCTATCATTAATTTCTTTTTTCTGTTGATAATCTACAACTAGATTGGTGAATGTATAGTTGCCGCATCAAATCAGTTTGGATTGTATGCTAGATGCTTATTTTTACATTGTAATGGGTCGTTTTTCTAGACATTCCTTTTTGTTAAAGAACTCTCTAACCAAAAATTAAGGACATATTAAAAATGGCAACACACAATTTTGAAGGTTCTATAAAATATATTACCATTTGTGAGTCTACTACATATTTAATCATGATGGAGTATGGAATATTCTACAACAAGGTAAATTTGACATGGCCAAAATATGTAGAAAAGATAAGGATGATAGAATGTCTAGAGAATAGATATTTTGTTAGAAGAGTGGAATGTGCTACATGATACAATCCTAAAAAGGTCAGGTCTAGACCTAATATTAAAGTACATAAACTTCCTTCTTCCAAAACATCTAGAAGCCTCCATTGTTTGTCTCCCACCCTGCTTCATTGTCCCTGTTTGGACCATTTTGCACCACCAACGTCGGGGAAAGACCGTGAACTGGTGTCAATGGTTCTACCCGACAGTCGCTCCAACTCGGCTCATCACAACAATAGAATCGGTTGTCTCTCCAATGGCCTAGCTTTATGCAATCTGATTTCCTTGATATAAATGTAATCTACCTCTCTTATGCATTATACTACACTCTTAGGACATGCATGCCCAGCTTTTTTATTGCATTATAGGTGGATCCTAAACCTCGACGAGTACCCTGGGGCCTACTGACTCTGTTATGCCAAATGCCAATGACATGGACCCGCCTAGCATCAACTTTTCAATGGCCGAGGCCAATGTGTACGAGGTGAATCATGAGGAGCATGTGGCAGGCAGAATCGTTGAGGATTGGGACCTCAACAACTTTGGTTAGTTCCAAAAATTTTTTGCGCAGTTACTATCGCATCGAATCTTGCGGCACATGTATGGAGTACTAAATGTAGACGAAAAAAAACTAATTGCACAGTTGAGTGAGAAATCGTGAGACGAAACTTTCGAACATAATTAATCCATAATTAAACACTAATTACCAAATATAAACGAAAGTACTACAATGGCCAAAACCCAAAAATTTTGCATGTAAACGCGCCCTTTGGCTATGGTCATAGTATCTTCAGAAGCTTCCCGTTACAACTCCCTCGTATAAGAGTAGTCCAATATTATTTTTTAATATTAGTGGAGGTGCTATAACAAATCACCAATAATCTCTCTTAAAATATAGGACCCAACTGTCCAGTACAACTTATTTATTTATTTTTCCTTATTTTTTTCTCTCCCCTCCCCTCGCTTCATCTTCTTCCCACATCGCGTCGGAGGCAGCCATGGCGGGTGCCGTCGCGTCGGAGGCGCCCGCGCCAGCTCCGGGCAGGCGTGCAGGTGAGAGGCTGAGCTTCGGCAGATCCGCACCAGCTCCAGTCGGGCGCCAACTCTGATAGATCTGCGCCAGCTCTGGAGGGACGCGGGGAGGCGGCGTCCGCGATGCGCGAGTGAGCTCCACCGAGGTGCAAGAGACGGCGGCCATGGCGAGCTCTGCCGAGTCATGCAAGATGGTAGTCGCGCCAAGCTCTGCCGGGCGCGCGAGATGGCAGCCGCAGCGAGCTCTGCTGGGACACGTGAGGAGGCAGCCGTGACAAGCTTTACCGGGCACGCGAGATAGTGGCCGCGGCGAGCTCAACCGGTCACGCCAGCTCCGGGACCACCAGGGCAGGCTTGGAGGCCTTCCGCAGCTCCAGTCCATCGCACCCGCTCCGCCCCGTTCCGCATCGCCATCATCCCCAACTCTGGCCATCACCACGCGAGGCCCAGCCCCAGCCGCTACATCCTCGGCTTGCGCCGCGTCGGCCCCGACCCCGGCCCTGCCCGTGCCGTCCATGGCTCCCCTCTGCCCCAGCTATGGTGCCGCCCAACCCGCAGCCATGGCCATGCGCCCCTTCTGTCCCCAACCATGGCGCTCTGCCCGGGTGGCTTCTTTGCGGGCTTCGCCGGCGGTGCCTCCTTCTCGCCATGGACGGCGGCGGCAGCCATGGCTCCGTGTGCAAGAAGAGCAGAGGAGACAGTGGGACCCACAGTATTGGGATAGATGCAACTCCTCCTTAATTTGAATGGAGATGGTGAAGATATCGATGGCCACAGAAAAAAAAAACATTGGAAGACTACTGGAGAAAAAAAAAAAAGTGGACTATCAGCCTCAATATGATAGTTTTACGAGGATGAGGAGTAGCATTGGGGGATTGCTGGAGATGTTCTCGTAGACTTCAACGGTGGCTGTGAGTATGAAGGTGTCTCCAGGGCAATCAACTTTGACGAGATGAGTTGAGTATTAATGCCACTAGTATTATGCCCCGTGCTAACGTTATGATAAAATATAAAACAAGATAAAATTTATAAAAAATAAAATGAGATTCACGTCTCATATATGTATAACCAAATATTTTAACAATATCAAACTCAAGATTGCTAGCTTCTAAATTCAATGACATGCATATCGCGGATGAAATGATCCAAAGCATTTTCGACGCATAAAAGTTGTCCATAATAAATATGCAGGAAATTTTTCTAGGAGTAAGTAGAAAATTCAAGATAGCAAATAAGTACACCTTTTTTTTGTTATGAATTTGCTCCTCCATGTCATTGTTCCCCTGACTAATCATAATCAGATCCTCTTTATCAAGTGCTCCATGTACCTGCACAACAACCACCAGTCTCAACTCCAAATACAAACTGTGATCTCAAAAAAAAAAAAGTCTAACTATTGCTGCTGTTCAAATGCAGCTACACATTGTGACTTCTGACTGATATTTTTTATTTAAACAAGAGAAGACAGAGCATGACTGGAAAAAATAACAGAACATCATAATGCCTTTGTCTAAATTTATTAACTTTCAACTCATTTAAAGTCTTCATCTAGCAATATGAAATTAGTACTATTTTATTAGAATCACCCTCTTCTCCTACTCGGTGTTGTCAATGGAAATATTAGTTCTTCTATCACTGAGTCAGCAAACCCAAACGGAAGGGTGGCAGACTTCACAGCATCCAGGTTCACTTATCTCAGTACATGTTTACGGGCATTTTAGAGTATAGTAATTCTAATCCCATCGTTTCAATCCTAAATATTTTTTATCTCAAAAAATTTCAAGCAGGCTTCCTTATGAAGCCTCAAAATACTTAAAGACTAATTTCTTTCAGAATTAATCAACGCAAGAAAAAAAACATCATAACTGACCTCGTGTCATATGCACATGTTTAGGATCATCAGAATTCAGTACCGTACAGATGCTAAAAAAATTCAGTACCGTACATAGGAATAACACAATCAGACATATGGCGAGAAAGAGAAGCACACACCCCAGGCGCGGGGGTAGAACCAAATTCGAACCCTCCCCACACGAATGCACCCAGGCCAAACAGAAATGGGAGAAAAATCAGAGGAGGAAGGAAGCTGCGCATGGACCTTGCCGCCAAAGAAGATCCCTCGACGTCGAATGACACGGAACCGGTATAGTCGCCCATTGCGGCTGCCTCCTGAGCATCACAACCAATCTGCCATATCAAAGAACAACGCGACTGTACCCTCACAGAACGTGGCGAAGCACACGAGTTTGAAGCCACGTAGCTGGCACCCATGTCGATTGAAGTCCCGTCGCCGCCAGGGTCCGTCGTGCGCACGGACCTGGCCGTGTGTCACGAGTAGGGAACATACCTTCATTTTGGCTATAGTCTTAGTCAGAGATGGACCTGGAACTAAAGAAAGAATTAGTCTCTGTTAGAGCGACCAACTAGACTAAAGTGTCCGGTCCAACGACTAGCGCTGTAGGCTTGCGTAGATTTGCAGGAGGAGACCTTTAGTTTATGGTGGTGGCTCTAGCCGAGACTAAAGATCATCCTCTAGTTCAAGCTATTAGCCGGGACTAAACCTTTGATCTCGAATTGTAGTTCCAATCGAGACTAAATAGTGACTTGTAGTCCCGGTTTGAGTTACCAACCGGGACTACAGGTCCCAAGCTATATACCGTAGCTTTCTTCTTCCTAAGTCTGAGTCATTTCAAGCTATCTGCTTCCTCTCTATTCTTGCTCGTGGATGGAGTTCATGTTTGCAGAATTTATGAAGGCTTCATTCCTCCATCCAGTTTTAGGTTTTAAAGGTTAGCACCTTTATTCTCTCATGTTTCATTGCTAGTATGGCTCATTACATCGTTTATAAATAGAGGAATTTGTGGATTTTTTAGATTGGAAATAATAGTAAGTTTTTTTTATTTATACGCCATTTGAGCTCAAACTCGATTGGTAGTTTGCATATGTAGATGAAGGAAGCCTATAGTAGTTCATCAAAACTAGTATTCACCTTTCATTGCTAATATATGTAGCTCATTTCATAGTTTAGAAATAGAGAAATTCGAGGTTTTCAAATTAGGAATAATGGTGGATTTTTTTTAATTTAAATGCCATTTGAGTTCAAACTCACTTGATAGATTGCATATGGTGAAGAAGAAAGTTTATAGTAGTTGATCAAAACGAGTATGCACCTTTCATTGCTATTATATAGCTAATTTCATGGTTTACAAATGAAAAAAATTATATTAGTTGATCAAAATATGTATAGAGTAGATCGCGACTACTTCTGGGTCCTCAACCTCGCATGGGGTTCCTGAGCGACTAAGGCCGGACCTCACTCTCATTGCGTGCGATGAGTGTAAGCAAAAGACTGTGTTGGAGTACAGAGTGAATAAGCAATGTCCCAACCATGGTCGCATCTTCTACAAGTGTCCGGATCGCAATGTGAGTTCTTTTGGTCACGTTTTTTATGG